TGTCTTTTTTTTTGTGATGTTTGGATGTGTTCCAGCTCATTTCTGTGCAGAAATTATTGCAGCAGTGTCTAACATTTTCTTTCATGCGAAACCTCAAAGTATGGTGTACCAGGTCCATTTGAGTACCGGGAAAATCCTTTGCATGCATTTTTCATGATGAAAAAAGGCTCTGGACAGCATCTGGAAATGAAAGAGTTAAAAAAAAAAATTGCAACCGCTTAGAAACGCGGTTAGCCGTGTTTACAAGCGTTTGAAACGCTGATAAAACCTATTCCTGAATGCAAGTTTGGTGCGTTCAAAAAAAAACTGTAAACTCAACTGCCTGTAAACGACAGTGTACATGGACACATAGGAAAACATTAGGGAGAGTTCAGGGGCTGCTGAGAAAGAAAAAAAAAAAAAAAAAAAAAAAACGCAGGAAAGCTCATAAACATGAGTTTATCAGCTGCAGTGTACATGAGCCTAAGGTAAATGGAAACGCTACAATGACACTTAGTTTAACACTTTGTGGATAATAAATCGCCATGCTTTTAATAAGGAAAGGTTTCATTCCTTTGTTGCACCTCAATGCTGCTGATCTCCTTCAGCCTCTATGTGTACTTCAGTGATGCCTGCATTTCTCAGGGTGGGTTTCCTGATGGTGACAACAGGGGACCATGCTTGCATAATGTGTATTAAAACAGCCACTTGTAGCCTTTACCAGAAAAAAGGGTGACCATGTCGGAGACACGGGGCAGAGCATCATCACCCTATACCAGGAAACAGCTGAACAGGGGCATTCATGGCAGGATCACCAGATATTATTTTGACAAAAAACCATAGATTGAAAATGTGTTTGAAAATACATTACCAGGCTGCTGTTTATAACAGGTTTAAATGAGATTTCAGTGGCCGTGTCTGCATATCCTTTAAGCCATTACTAAATCCACAAAAGTACAGACAAAGCACTACATGATTAAAACTGGCCTTAGGGCCTTTTCACAGCTTGTGCTTGTTCAGGGGCTCAGTGGGGACACAGCGATCCCCATTAACCTGTTATATAGAGCAGCGGGGTGCCTCTGATTTAAAAATTGATTCCAGTGCTTGTCCTGCTGCTTTTTCTCCTTTAGCACTCAGACTAAACAAAACTTCAGCAACATTTACATAAAACTTTGCTTTGCACTTAAAGCAGAGCTTCAGTCTCCTCTGAAAAAATAAAAGGCAGCAGCTATAAAAACTGTAGCTGCTAGTTACATAGTCTGGTTGAAAAAAGACAAAAGTCCATCCAGTTCAACCAAAAGAAAAGTTATAATCCTACACCCACAGTTGATCCAGAGGAAGACAAAAAAAACCCAGCAAAGCATGATCCAATTTGCTCCTGCAGGGGAAAAAAATTCCTTCCTGATCCCATGAGAAGCAATCGGATATTCCCTGGATCAACTTTACCTATAAATGTTAGTATCCAGTTATATTCTGTGTATCTAGGAAAGAATCCAGGACTTTTTTTAAAGCAATCCAGTGAGCCGCCAGAACCAACTCTTGAGGGAGTCTATTCCACATTTTCACAGCTCTCACTGTGAAGAAACCTTTCCGTGTCTGGAGATTACATTTCTTGTCCTTCTGACTTTTAAAAACCAGCCCAGGGATGTGCAATTCCTATAGCCCAATGCCCGGGGACATGCCGTTCCGGGAGCCAGGCAAGAGTTTTTTCTTTATATTTAGTCCTGCTGTGGGCAAGCAGCAGGAATTAGAGCTAACAGTTGGCTCTCTTGTAAAAGAGATCCAAACAGCAAACTAGCCACTGGATCGCTTTTACAAGCAGCGGAGGGGACATCCCCCCTTTTGCGGACTGTTGCGTCGCACCAGGACACCCAATCGACCATCTGGCACTACCGCCCGCTGATCATAAAGACGGAGAAAGTCGGGAACCACTCTGTCCGCCTCTATGCCATTGGAAACAGGAAGCAATGAGCATACATACCAGTTTCCCTGGATGTAAATGGCGCAATTTTTAAAAATGGAAAGCATTTGATCACACTGATCTTGTCTAGGTTTTATTGACCCCAGATCTCTCGATAAAGAGCACCTGTCGCTGCCTATTGCTGTCACAAAGCATGTTAACATACAAAAATTAAAGGGACTGTAAATAAATAATGAAAATATTTTTTAAACCATCCCCACACGCAAAGGCAAATGCATGCATCGGTCCTGCTCACATGCAAACAGCAATCGGCCCACACGTGACGCATCACTGAGAACGTCAGATCATAGGCAGTAATTCTAGCACCAGACCTCCTCTGTAAAGGCTTTTAAAGTGTTGCCTATGGATAGGCGTTTGTTGGCACTGCATGGGCATGCACAGTTTTAAAGTGTGACATGTTTGTTATCCATTTATTCAGTGAAACACCATATTTTATATTTTACTAAAAAATTGGGTTTAGTATTGTTTTTTTTGCATTAAAATTCAAAAATGTATTTTTTTCCAAAAAATTGTGTTTGAAAAACTGCTGCGCAAATACCATAAAAAATGTGAAACCCACCAATTTATTCTCAAGGGACACTGCTGTAAAATAAATATATGTTTCAGGGTTCTAAGACAATGTAGATTGTCACAAGGGACAAGTAGACTGGAACTCCGATTTAGTCGTTGGACAAGTAGTTTTTTAAAAAAAATTTCCACACCCCTGCAGCCACTCACCTGTTCTACTATCTAGCGGTGTGTTCATACCTGCTGGGTTCAGTGGCCGTCTTTGCTCCCCAGCATCTTAAAATGTAGGCACCCGGCCGTGACAGCTTGTGGCTTCACAGCCAGGTGCCCTTGAGTAGTGCTGAGCATTGTGAATGGTCTGGTAGTCCTCTGGGACTGGTCACGTGTCCCAGAAGACCAGGGGGGTGGATTGAAAACGAACGCTTCTGATCGCCTAAGGGGTCAGAGCAGAAGTGGAAGCGGGTACCTGTCAAAATCGGGTACCAGTTCTTTAAAAAGGTGCCAATTCTTCACGGGGAACAGGGAACCAGTTTTTAAATTAGAACTTCCCCCTTTTGGGTGGAGCTCCACTTTAACTTCAAAATCATGTATTTGGTGCAATAAGACAACTGAAGGATTAATGCATACAGTATGTTGTCCCTTTTCAGTCATTTTCAAGACACTGCTCTGGAGCAAGTACGCAGCAAAGAATGTTAAATCTCCTGATCTGGAAACTTGCTCTGGGTCAGTCCAAGTATCAAAGCCAGCAGAGCAGTTTGATAGCATAATAGAAATAGGAGGGTTGCCACTGCTAGTCTTATCCTCAACATGCTAGCTGCCTGACTGTCAAGCTCAATTCTTGTATTTCCTCATGCCAGGAGCACTTCAGTGTAGGCATGAGTTATCAGTAAATGTGATCTAAATTTTATGCATCATGCAAACACTCATTTCTCTTAAAAAACTAAACTCCAGGCTAAACAATAATGGTCTAATACAAGCATACACGTGTACTTGAATCATGGTGTGCTTTGTATATTTTTTTTACAGATCTATGCAGTAATCCAGTATGAAACATTGCCTCTGTGTAGGAGCTTCCTGTAATAAAGACTGGTCACTGCTGCTCTCTCTCTCCTTGTGCAGGGTGACTGAAGATAACTAGAGGAGGGGGCGGGTACAAGACCAGACAGCCTGTAGTGAGTGACAGCTGCTGGGCCCCTCCCAGAACTCTTCTCTCTGAACATACTTTGTGTATGATGTCACCACTACTCTTACAAGGTAATAACCAGTTTTGCAAAGGCATTTGGCTCAAACAAAATGGATTTATAACCGTCAGGGTTATTGTGGAATATGCTGAAATTAGTTTTTGTGCCCAGATGTTCATTTTGAAGAGTGCATTAAAGTTTTTTGGATGGTTTGATGGTTGTCCTTGCCTTGGTTGGGGAAACTTGCGTCATGTATTGTCCCAGTGACTACATGAACTCTTGCCGCTATGAACTGCTGCACTTAACTCTTTGCACTGTTTTTAAATAACCAGATAGTTTTGAGGTAGGTGGTTCCATTGGTGGATCAGATACCTTTTCAATCAGGGTGTTCTGAGGTTCTTCAAGGTGGAACAAATCCAGATGTGGATTGAGTAAACAAGGGACAGTCTGAACTGGTGACAGCTTTCTGGATGAAATGGCATTAGGTTCAATAGCTTTTATGGGATTGTACATGCTCCAACTTAGCGGATCATCATTTTCACACTCAAAAAAAAAAAAAAAAAAAAAAAAACACAATGCAGACTCAAGTAAACAGGATGCTCGGAGGTTCTTTAAAGGTGGATCTCCAGACCAATCTTGTTTTGGATAGCATAAACAAGGGAAATCTGTGTCATTGTGGATAGTGTTCCTCATACACTGTATGGTTACTGATCAGAAACCAAGAGGAAAGAAGCAGCAATAAAAGCAGTGTTTTATGGAGGGACTGCGAAGGGTTAGAACCTCTTTTGGCATATTATTGCCTCCTTTGTGATCAAAAGGACAAAAAGGGAGGAAAATACTCCCTAATAAAAATCTAACAGAGGATCCAACCCTTCACCATGCCACCAAACGTATAAAAAACTAAAAGCACAAAAATCAAAGTTTGTCTGCACTTCCACTCTAATGGTCTTTTTTTAAAATGGACCTTATTTTTCACATTCTAATCAAAACACCAGTACTTGGCGATGTCAGCAGTCTATCTGAAAAATATTTATTTTGCTTTTGTGTGTTTTGGCGAACTGGTCTTTTCTTCTGTCCATAATATCTTATATACAGCTGTCCGATATCAATGAACGGTCTTGTGGCCTCACTGTGGCTTTGTCTCTCCAGCGGTCACCATCTCCCATTGACATGACAGGCTTCTCTCTGATCAACACGATGGCACACTCTGTAGCCATTGTACATCCTGCAGGTTTCCTTCTTGTATTCCAGTATATTAAACTTGGCATGCTTAAAACAAGCTTTTCTTGGCAAAGCAGTCTACAGTGGATAGATCATGGTTACGACTTGACAGGCAGACCATACTGTTCCTTTTATCTCATGGCAAAGGAGTAAACGTGATAGATTTCATCAGGAAAGTTCTCCTGTCTTTCTTGGGCCAGAATAGAAAGGCCAGCCTGTCTGATGAGTCTACATACCACGTCCATGTCTCTGCAGATGCTGCTGTCCACGTCGTCCATAATGGCGCCTTCTGTAGCCATGTTGTCCTTGATGACAATGATGCCATTAGGTCGCAGGCCAGCTTTGCAACGCTTTAAGAATTCCACAAGGTGGCTGTCTGTCAAATGTCCTGCACCGAGACAATAAGTGTTAAAAGTGTGCCCCAAAACAATGACAGTTAAAGTGTGCGCCAACTGTGGGCAAAAGCACAAATGATATATAGAATGAAGACCAACATTAAGACAGCAGCTTTTCTTTTTCCAATACCCCCACCCCATGCAATAATTTTAATATGTTGATCCTGCCAGTAGAACTATTGATTTTAATTTCAATTTCTGCTGTCCATTCCGCAGTGAAATCGCACATTGGCGTTGTATTAGTCGTAAGGGATAAGTTCACCTTTTAGAACATGTTACATGTTCCATCCGTATTTAGGGTGGAACATGTAAAACGTTCCAGATCCGACAGACAGTTCCCCAGATACCCCCTCATTGGTGACAGCGGGCGGGGGATCTTTTCCCTGCACCCATGGTCACAATTCATAAGCAGCATGCACATGAGGGGATTCCACCCACACGGCCCCATTATTCATTTACAGTTTCCTGTGAATGCATGAACTACAACTACTATCAACCATTGTGTTTGACAGCTGGTAGTTCTGCATGAACTGCGAGGTCAATGATGAGCTCTCTTTAGTTCATTCACAAGCCCTGCAGCTTGTAAACAGTCAGCCCCTATTGGATGTACAGGCAGAAAGCTGCAGGGCTTGTCTGCAGGAGTCTGGCATTCCACCCCTGCTCCACCGATCATGGGTGCAATGCTTTCCTACAAAAATATGTGTATTTATTAACTTTTCCCAAAAGGTGAGCTCATCCTTTAAACTAGCCATAGATAGATTGAAATCCAGAGAGATTAAGAAAGGACCGGCTAAATTTCCCAGTGTGTGGCCATCCCTTTTCAACAAAAGTCGCTCCTTTGATTGACTTCCGTTAAATGAACAAGTTGGAAAACTTTTGCATATCAGCAGCTGCAACTAAAGGGAAACTTCTGTCAGAATACAATTTCCCGCTGGGGAAGGGGAATTCCTCCATCCCCCTGGGTTGAATGGATGGGGGAATTGTTTGATCTGTTTTAGCTCAGCCCACTGACTGAATGAAGAGAGAAAAAAAAAAAAAAAGGAGAAGAAAACTTGTGTATAGTCAGCATTAAGGGCCAGTTCACACCACAAAAACGCACTCCGGATGCATTCCAGATACGTTTTTGCTTACAGTTCACATCACACGCAGTTTTGATGCAGTTTGCCATGTTCCAGAACAGTTCTGTGCAGAAAAAATGCAGCATGTTCTTTTTTTTCTGCACCAGAAACTGACTGGAACTAACTGCACTGGTGTGAACCAGGGCCATTGGAATACATGGAAAACGCTGTGCATGCATTTTTGATGCCGAAAAAAAACAGTGGACTGCATTTGGTGTGAACTGGCCCTAAACAGACATGCGGTTTTGAATGGAGATTTTTTTTTTAAAGAAAATTCCAAGTTTCCTTGCACTTTAAATAATTCGTATGGCCCAGCTTGGAAGAAACAAATTGCATAACGGCCTGGCTGCTGCATAGACTGTAATACACTGTAGTAGTGCTATGTATAGAAAGCAGGGCTGTGTTCTGGCAGCAGTATGGGACACTTCCCTTCTACAGCATCTCCATCATTACTTGGACTTTTTTTCAATTAATAAAACACTTTTTCTGATTGTCACATACTGTAGATATATTTTTACTACAGTGGGCCGGTTTTATTAAACAGATAATATAGTAACTGTATAAAGAGAGCAGTGAAAAGGTGCAAGCAAGAGTTCACAGAATCATACAGTAGAGGCATTCCTCACTTCTCAAGCCAGCACAGAGAACCAAATCAGCTACAGGCGATTCCTAACAGATACATCTGAAATCTCTGGTTGGATGCATGTTGTAGTAATTCTCAATGAACTCATCAGATATTTTGGTTTTAATTTAGCCCTTTGTGAGCAACTATTTTCAAGGATGAAGCACACAAATATAGGTGTTGCCAAAAACTGATGACATGAACAAGGCATAATTGTGAAGAGTAGGATAATTTTCCTTGGGGAGGAAAAAAAAAAAAAAGAAAAAAAAGAAAAAAAGCATTTATAAAAAGTCAAGTAAAGAGACCCTGTCAAATCTTTCCTTGGCCCCATGTGTTTGCTAAGTGTAAATGCAATTTAACAAAAAAAAAAAAAATTTTTTTTTAAACAAGTTTAGAATTTTGTTTTGGGCCTATTTCATAGCTGTCTTGGGCCGCAGGTTGGACACTCCTAGTATAGAGTGATGCATAATTCCAAACATACAAAAAACTAGATCTGGGTTTGCATACACTTCTGAGCAGGCTATCTGTATTGAAAGCTGGAGAATTTAAAAAAACTTTGGTAAAATATGGTAAGATTTAACTGCTCCCCAGCAAATGGAGGATGCACATACACCAGCATTGCCTGCAGCAGACAGATATCGTATGCACTTCAACAACTGGAGGACTCTAATACACCCTCATGCCAAGAACAGAGAAGACATGATACAACTAAAGGCCTACTTCAAACAATCTGGGCAACCAATTCGTTTTCATAACGGTCACCTGATTGGTTGCCCTAGACCAGAGGTAGGCAACCTGCGGCTCTCCAGCTGTTGCAGGACTACAAGTTCCATCATGCCTCTACAAGTCATAGCTGTAACTGTCAGTTTTGTAATTTTTGCAATGCCTCATGGGAAATGTAGTTCCACAACAGCTAGAGAGGCGCAGGTTGCCTACCCCTTCCCTAGACAAACTGTTTGCACCGGTTTTAATGCCAGAGACCCAAAAACATCACATGGCTCCTTACCTATTACCCACTGAATCCAAATGACGTCATAGCGGTTTGGCTCTGGAGAAAACTCCTGCAGTCCGGAGCAGTAGAAGTTGCCGATTCTCTTCCCATCTTCCCCGAGATAGCTCTTCGCCTTGCTTAGAAATTCATCTGTTACGTCAACCATATCTACCTTTTTAAATAATGGCAGCAAGAGACGTTTGGTGATGCGACCTATGCCGGCCCCACAGTCCAGGGCATATGATGAGTCTACCTTATGAGGACCATCCTGCAAAAGAAAGAAGTTTGAGAAAACATGTAGGCCAAAATGCACATGATGAATTGCAGAATGTAAGACAATACTGAATGTACACCCACACTAGAGAACAGCCTCACTGAGATTGGGAGAAGGGAGAGCACAAATGGGAGACCAGAAAAATTTAATGTAAATGTGCCAATAAGTAACATGCAGATAGAATGTGTGAGCAGGGAGATGACTTAATCAGTATCTGGATGCTCCTTTACAGTCCAATCAGAAAACTAGGGGTGGCCGGGGGACACCACTGTATCTCTTTCTACTGGCTGTGTAAATCATACTTACATGACAGAAATACAAATTAGGTTAAAAACGGGATTTTTTTGTTACTCACCCTAAAATCCCTTTCTCTTCGTTCATTGACGGACACAGCCTCTCTCCATTACCCATGACCAAACAGAGCTGGATAGAACACCCCAGGCTAGCCCAGCAGCAGAGATACAATAATGAAGAGAGGCTGTGTGTCAATTACCGTAAGAAAATGGGATTGTTTTGGTACTCACTGTAATATCCCTTTCTCAGAGTTCTCCTCATTCCTCTATTTCCATCTGCTGGACTAACCTGAGGGTGTTCTATCCCATCCTCTCTCAAACGGGGTGCCGCAACATCCTGGCTGAGAGAGGCATTCCAATGACAGCCAAGCTCCCGAGTCCTGCTCCTACGTCGAACATTGGAATACTGACAGCTCAGCAAAGACAGCCTTGTGTAGATTAGAGGAAGGAAAAGGCATCCTGAGCTCTCCACCTCTCTCTACAGGACAGGACTGGCATTGCAGGACCTGACAGTAAGTGTGGGTAGCACACTGCACATTTGAAGTGTATGTGTATATACAGTTGTGTCCAAAATTATTCAACCCCCCCCCACTGAAATTGAGTGTTTTGGCCAGTTTGACATTGCTTTTGATCATTCAGTCATCTTGCTTACATTTACATTAAAGAGGCACTTGTAGGTCAGACAAATATAACATAACAGTTATAATGAAATAACCACAAATGTCTTTTCTGTGCTCACAGCATTATCAGTTTTATTCAACCCCCCAAGTGACATTCAATCTTAGTACTTAGTACAGCATCCTTTTACAGTTATAACAGCTTTTTAAACGTGAAGCATAGCTTGACACAAGTGTCTTGCAGCGATCTACGTGCCCATTCTTCATGGGCAAAGGCCTCCAGTTCAGTCACATTCTTAGGCTTGCGCACTGCAACTGCTTTCTTTAAGTCCCACCAGAGGTTCTCAATCGGATTTAAGTCTGGTGACTGCGATGGCCACTCCAAAATGTTCCAGCCTTTCCTCTGCAACCATGCTCTAGTGGACTTGGAGGTATGCTTGGGATCATTGTCCTGTTGAAAGGTCCAACGTCTCCCAAGCCTCAGGTGTGTGACGGACTGCATCACGTTTCCATCCAATATCTCCTGGTACTGAAGAGAATTCATGGTACCTTGCACACGCTGAAGCTTCCCTGTACCTGCAGAAGCAAAACAGCCCCAAAGCATGATTGACCCTCCACCATGCTTCACAGTAGGCAAGGTGTTCTTTTCATCATAGGCCTTGTTCTTCCTCCTCCAAACATAGCGTTGATCCATGGGCCCAAACAGTTCTAATTTTGTTTCATCAGTCCACAGAACACTATCCCACAACTTTTGTGGTTTGTCCACATGGCTTTTGGCATACTGCAGTCGACTCTTCTTATTCTTTGGAGACAGCAAGGGGGTACGCCTGGGAGTTTCTGGCACGGAGGCCTTCATTAACGCAGTGTGCGTCTTATTGTCTGGGCTGAAACTTCTGTACCCACATCTGACAAATCTTTTCTCAGTTCCTCAGCAGTCACACGGGGACTTCTCTCCACTCTACGCTTCAGGTAGCGCACAGCAGTCGAAGTCAGCATCTTCTTTCTGCCACGACCAGGTAGCGTTTCAACAGTGCCCTTTGCCTTGAATTTGCGAATGATGCTTCCTAAGGTGTCTCTTGGTATGTTTAACATCTTTGCAATCTTCTTATAGCCATTGCCCTTCCTGTGAAGAGAAATCACACTCTTCTCTTGTCTTCCTGGACCATTCTCTTGCCTTCACCATGTTTGTAACCACACCAGTAAATGTCTAGAAGGAGCTGAGTTGTCATTTTAAAGCTGCCTAATTGGTGCTTATTATGCTTGATTGCTGCTCGGGTGACATCCACAGGTGTTTTCAATACCTGATGGAAAGCACCTGTATGAACCTCTGTTCTTCAGAGTGGTAGTCTTTAAGGGGTTGAATAATTGTGGCAATGAAGAAACCACATAAGAACCATTTACTACTGTATTACATAAACAATTGATGTCATTTTAGTTGCATTTGGGTAGTTACAACGTCCTTGTAGGATTTGATTCTGAATACAATTCCAAATGTACACTATAGTCCCTAAACCCCTTTACAGCATTGGGGTTGAATAATTTTGGACACAACTGTACGTGAGTGTTACTTTTAATCATTTCCCCTAATCCTGTATGATTGTAACAACATTTTTTAGGGTTTGTTCACAGAAGTAGAAAGCACTGCCACTCCTCTGATCCATGTTCAGATTGCTTTTCAGGAGTAATTTGATAGGAGGCCTTCTAAATGCAGCATCACCACGCCACAGCCACATGCTATGCACGCAGTTGTGGGGCGGTTGCAGCGTGGCCCCATTCACCTGGGGGTTTACTTGCTTTGCCGCAGTCACAGCATGTGTACAACCTCTGCAGCTAAAGGGGGAGCAGTTGAGGATGGCGAAACCGCAGCTCAACCATGTGGCTTTACCATCTCCCATTCTCGTGAGACTGAGCCCTTGGTTCACAACTGTGCAGCTGCATGCTGTGTGTAGGGCAGCATTAATTTTGATGGGCTGCCCTACCCACAGAAATACAGGGACAGAGGTCCCTGACCCTTTCTTAAAGTCACACTGCACCAAAAATGCATGGCGTTTGCCAATGTGTGGGGGGTACTTAAAAAAAATGAATGATACCCCTGCGCATCTGCTAAAGAGTAGCATGTTTATCTGAGTGTCAGGAACATGTGCAGTTTTGCATGTATTCCCAACACGCAGTGATGTTAACCAAGCCTGGGGTACCTCGAAACTGAAAACACTTTTCAAGGGCGCCCCGACTGGACAAAGCTTGAAAAAACACTGTTCTATCCTGCTGTGCTTGATCATGGACAATGAAGAGAGGCTGTGTCCGTCAATTAATGTAAGAGAAATATCTCCATTTCATCTGTGTGACCGCTAGCCTGGAGTTCAGAGAAAATTTTGGCACTTTTGAACACCATATAAACTATATTCCTCCTCCTACCACAAATCCTATGGTAGCCTTCTCCTACATATAGGGAATGTTTAAATTGCTCAGTAAAGAAAAAAATAAAAAAATGTTCATAAATCAACTCGCGAGCCAGCTTGCCAACAAGCAAATTAACCTGTCTAACAGTATGTGTTAAAAGCAGAGGTTTAGTTAGCACACATTTGCAAATACATACGTAAGCCACAGATCCACATCAAGGCACCGCGGTAATCTGTGGTTCCTAACTCAACAAATTTGAGTCCCCATAGTAGAGGCACATGCATTTAATGGATAGACCTGGGGCAGGTGCACATTAGGGAGCCCACCCCTCTTAAAGGAACAGGAGCGAAAAAAAACACCCAGCATGTAGCACAATGGCAGCCAGGGTGCTCAGTGCACCCACGGGCCTAAAAACTAATGGTGAAGGAAAACATGGCACCTGCCCCGGTCTATGACTGGCTATAATGCAAGGATTACGTGAACTGGGCAACACGTCAGTAAAGAAAAAAATAAAAAAATGTTCATAAATCAACTCGCGAGCCAGCTTTTCCAACAACCAAATTAACCTGTCTAAAAGTATGCATAAAAACAGGGGTTTAGTTAGCAATGTTTAAATTGGTACCTTGCTATGACCCAGTTATATTCACCTTGCTACTCTTGCCTTCGTAGCAGCCCCCTATTTTACAGCCACATTTCACAGAATTTCTCACAGGGCCGCTGGCCATGTACTTCCTGAGATGTGAAACTTCCTCTCTCTCTGCTTGTCATAGAACTGGTCAGATTTGGATAATCAAAGCAGGATTGGTCCTACACCGATAGTGGTTTGGGCTAACGGGCTGGACTTCTACACAGCAATGGCTTGCATTAAAAAAAAACTAAAGAAAAAAAAAAAACAAAAACTGAACTACATCTCCCAGGAGCCCTTTCTTTAAACAGTGTGTGGGCAGGCTCTTTTGAGTCAGGGCAAAAGCATTTTCTGCTGGTTATTAAGTCACAGTATGACTTTGGAAAAGCTCAGAGAGGGGCAGAAGATAGGTGGAGTTCTGTAGACCTGGGCTGACACCAGTTGGGTGTTATAAAGGCACTGTGTAGTCAGCCCAAACAGTAAATCAGGAGGCAACTGCATTTCCTGCAGATCAAGTTATTTTTCTGTACTTGCAGTGTTTAAAAAACAAACGTTTCTGTCAATATTGTATTGCAGAGAGGAACTTTTTTTTTTCTCTGACATACACTTAAATGTAACCAAGTAATATGTGGACTGCATAGAATTTATAGAAACACAAGTATGAAATTCTCACATGCAAAACATTATTTTACAGCCCAGAATAGTATAGAATGTTCCCATATCTGGGAATGACATTGAATAATTGATTCTGCATGTGCTGGCAAAGAGAACCTATTATGTTTTTACACCCGGGATTCACATTCAGCAGAATAAAACCCAGCCTTGGCACCAAGCAGTTTTATTTTAAGATCCAGCAGGAGGCCACGTAAGGCAGGAGGAGAATTGATTCCAATCACTATAGTCTCAGCTGACTAATACAGCTTATGAAACCTCCAATATAGTTCTGAATATGACTGAATCTTATTAAATATAGAAACATATTACACATTCTTGGGGCTCAACACTACCACTGCTGTGCCTGCTTTCACTTAGCGTGGAAAACATTTTTTTTTTCTATTA